GCCTTACATGGCCCTGTAAAGGTATACTATTTATGTAAAGCATCACCAGACTGATCAGCCAAATGTTACAGTTTAAACACTACAGTTCACAGATAATTACGTTGGTCATTTACAGCATGACAAGCCAATTTTGATATCTATTACACACTATTTAAAAAGGTAAATCACAGATTCAAAACAAATTCACCCAACATTCACACTTGGCCAAAAGAAGCAGACATGACAACATATCAAGATATATTTTGCACACCTATGGTAGAATTTGCTTTTCATATCCAAACCGTATAGTTTTAGCAGAGCTTTGGTAAAGTTTACATCCAGAACATTAATTGCAGTTTGTAGCCAATTGAAAGACTATTAAATACAATCCCCCGGTTTTGTTTGCTTCATGTTTTTTGTTTTGTTTATTCCTTTAAATGTTTATCATCAACCTTTTCTGGGATTACCTTGTATTTTAATCTGACACATTTATATATTGATGTTAATTAAAGCCCCTACAAGGAACTTTCCTTTTTTTGTGAATTCTGGCGGCCCCTGTGGACAAAAGCGGTAGTGTTTCCACCGCCTTCTATCGCCTGATTTATGGGAATCCGACCGATTCCAGGTAGAATAACTATATAGAAATAGCCCATCTTCTCACTGATGGTCTTGTTTGTTTTTGTAGGTCATATAGAGGCATCTTTATTCAATTTAAACTGTTTCATAACCAGTTACTAACTCTTTGTAGTACATTTAATGTGTGTATAAATAATTGAATAAATTAATCAGTACAGTATATTAACAAAATACTACTGTATTTATGTGAACATAGGCCTAAGAAGTCCATAGTTGAAGTACAAGTGAAGTGGAATGATGGATAAGATACGAAAATCTGACGGTGCAATTTAAAAGTTTACAAAGTTAGTGATGACTCAAGGATGTGGATAAAACCACCTAGTGAGCAAGCTAGAGCTCTTCTGGTCCGTCTGCAATTTCATATAAATATTAATCACTTTTTCTATCTGGGGGTAGAGGACTAAAATAACATAATGTTGAGCTTTAAATCTAGGAGGGATGGTCGGTAGGTAGTCTGTCTTCTCCACATTCACTCTCACACCTCATAATGCAGGTTTAGGCTGTTCCATATGGATGAAACTCATATATGACAGCTCTTGGTGCATCAGAATGTAAATGCAAGCAGCTGTTTGTGTGTGCATCAGCAACTCTTGAGAGGCATGGGAAAGTCTTTTTCGTAAGTGCAGATTTTTTACACGTTTTAACATAAGTGTGCGAATGTCCACGTTTCACAATTTATGACCTCTATGTTTGTCCACCATTTAGAGTAGATGTGTTTAGTGGAATATATGAAATTTCCATGTATTGTTGTCTTTTTGTTGCTTTATTGCTTTTTTCATTCCTGGTATCAGTTCCAGTGCCTGTTGCAGCTTTCCAAAATGTTTTACTGTACACCAATCTGCGGGAAATTTCCCTTGAATAAAACTTATCACTATTCATTCAGTATTCAAAACCCCAAATTCAATTCAATTAAATTTTTGATGACTGCACTCTCATAAATGTAATTCTTGGTTTTCAAGATGGATGATAATACCTTCCATAATATGCTTTATTGAAATACGACAATTTTTACTTATAGTGGGGGATATCATTTTTAAACTAAAGTCCTTTTTTCTAAAGATAATTAAAATGTCCACTTGTCATCTTATGTTCTACAAATCCTGTCCTGGAATTCCTCTAGATTGTTGAAGTGGGATAGACTGCTCACATTGCTGTGTTTTTTTTTTGTCCAGTGCCATTGTTGAATAAATGTCAAGATAATCAGTCATGCTGGTTAATTAAAAGCATATTTGAGTTGCTCACAGAGAAATAGCCACTACCCGATGCCTTTGGCCCCCAGAATAAGAAGGGGCCAAGGTGAATCGTATTATCTACCTTTTTGTCCTCAAGATAAGAAGAAATGCTAGTTAAGGAAAGGGTTGTAGGAAACTGATAGGCTTATGTTTGCTGGCTTCTGAATTTTAATTAATCCTTTTGAGTGTAATACATCTACACCATTTTGCATCCCCAGCTGAATTAAACAAGCTGTTTTTGAGAGGATTATGCTGATTGGTGTTTGGAAATATGATAGGAAGGTGAAGGAAAACCCTTATTTGTGGATGTCTGATATCAGCTTTGTTGTGATCTACAGTAGCATTGTGAATTATACTGGCCGGTGCATACACTGTGTGTGGCTACAGCTGGCTCTGTTATCAGGCTCTAGGCAGAGATGGAGGGAAAGATGAAAAAACAGGGAGGGTGGACAGGAAGAGATGGGATTTATGCTAACGTGTTGGTAGGAAGGTAACGGAATTATTCAGTCCTTTGTGAAGACTGATGCCACTAGACCCCACCTCGACAGCCTCTTTCCCTCTTGCCTTTCGCTTCTGTACCCTTATTCCCTGTTCTCTCACCTCTTTCTATTTACCTTTGTCTCTGGCTCTGTCTACTCTGTGATCCCTAGGGACACACTTTTCATTTATTCTAGTCCTACACCTTCTTCAATTCCATCTCTCTCATGTATTTAAGACTACCTTTTTCTTTTTTCCCCCTCTTTACTTGGAATCAATACTCTGGTGAATGTGTGGCTGTCTCTATCTTTTCTTCAATCTGCCATACATTATGAAATAAATAAATACATTTAGATGTACATATTGAAAGCATTGGTCCCCACAGCAGAGATGCTGTCAGTTCCTCTAGCATGCACTTCATTATTATGGCTCCCACTTGTGCCATCAGTCATAATGCTGCCTTTTACCACACACCATAGGACATCCAAAGCTACAACCATAAACAACAAGCTAATAAGCTGACTAGCTTTCCCCTTACTAAGTAGAATATATATAACACCCTGCTGGGGTTTGACCAGTTCCTTTGTGCAGGTCAGCACTTTGAATCAGTTTCCCTAAAATCCTAGAAAAAAACAAGGCATGTGGCATTAATCAAAAGGGTTTGATTTCATATTGAACAGCAGAAAGGGAATGGTGTTGTTATTAATTTGACAGTTGTTTGGTATATAAGTTGAACTATAAGTGAATAAATAAAGACAAATTGGATGTTGTATTCTGTTCAGTTTCCCAGGGAGTCTGAGAACTGAAACATTTCTGCTCGTAATTGTGTGGCACCACAGTACCAATAGAAGTTGGGAAACTGCAAGCCACCTCCATCATATAACAAATTCAGTCTTTTCTTTCCTGGCAGTAGCTTCATATTTAGTACAAACATGCGCAGCGTGTTATCTATCATCTCATGTAAGTCTCTGCTAGAAATCGAAAAAGCGTATTCCCCAAAATGTCAAAATATTCCTTCAAATGTTAATTGCATTCATTTTCATCTCCCAGTAAGGAGAACACACAGCAGCCATGTGCTCTAACACTCACTTTGTTTTTACTGTTCACATAAACTGATAGAGAATACCTTGTCTCATTCTTGGTTTGTTATTATTCCATCTTAGAAATTTGGAACATTTTGTTTACTGTGTGTCCTTACATTACACGGCTTTAGCCTGGCACTGCCCTAAGCTACATTTTCAGCTGGTTTAAACTAAGGGTCAATGAGGTGGTTTAACATCATGCTCATGTGAAAGAAAATGGAACAGTTGCAGTCCCAGTTACTCTTTCTACTAGTCAGAAGGAAATCACCTCGACACCAACACCACCACCGCACACACAGAGTGGTTCCCACACACACACAAACCCATTCTTGTTATTTGTCAGCCCCCCTCTCTGTACAGTATATTTCATCATGGGCGAGGCATTGCTAACACGCCAAGCGAGTGCTTTCTCTTGTTCAGTGGCTCTCACTGTCAAGGGGAGGGATTTTTTTTTCCCTCTCCCCGTGACAGACTCAAGTGCTTCAATTTTCCCCTTGCTTGGAGAAAGTGACTGCACAAAACCTTTGGAGTCCATAGGCTCTCAGGAAACTGGGATACAGACAGAGCTTGAGCTGGTTTTGCAAAGACTGAGCTGGACACTGAAAGTAGATCATGTGATGGTTAAAATGGATCAAAACCTCTGAGCAAGTTCAGGGAGGCAACTTGAGGGTTGCTGCTTTGTTCACATGTGACCTGCTTTATTCCCTGCACCTCATATCTAACACAGCCTTGCAAAAAGCGGTTCTATTAAAGCTATTAATGCATTTACTCATTCAGTCTGCCTAAAAGCAAACTGCTGATTGAAAACACTGCTCCACTGTAGAATCCACCTGTAATCTCATATGTGTCTTTTGCTGAATTTATTCTTGAGAATATTCGGTTCCACGTTGTCAAATGTTGCTATGCCCATGTTAATATGAATATTAACCATATATATATATATTGATGACAAACCTTTGCTGCATAAATTGCCAATTTCCGCGCAAAATACACGGGGCTTGCATGATTTCATAATCCTCGCATTTTCGTTGCAAAAAAGTCACTATATCTATCTATATATAAAGTTGAAAAATTTTGTGTTTTCTTCACACGAGCAGCCATTTTCCCCTGTTGCCATGGGAACGTTATTAAGTGACGTAATTATGCGACGTGGACATCATTGAAAAGCGGCAAACCCCGCGATGAAGCCAGAGTTTTTGCAAGTTCCCGCAATTTCATCACATAAAATTGCATAAATATCCCGCATTTTCCATCGCATTTTGTAAGAAAACGTGCCGCATAATGGGATTTTTGCCCGCAACAATCATGAAAACACTCGTTTTTCTGGAAGGACTGATCAAACTATGGAAATGCTTTAAAATGTTTCCATTCATTTTCATCACTTGTCAGACAGTGTGTTCGGTTTCAGCAAGTGTCGTATGTATCTATTCATACATAAATACAATATATCATAGTCACTGTGTTAAGAAATGGAAATAAGTTGATTCACCATAGTGTTATATTAATGACCAGAAGAGAGTAGCAGCAGACACAATACTGGAACACAGTTCTTTGAGTCATACACTAATGCTGCATGTTACCTTTGTCTCCACAGCAAAGAAGACATGTGCGACCACAGACTTCGCCTGTAAGAATGGACAGTGTGTTCCTGCTAGGTGGCGCTGCGATGGAGAACCGGAGTGTGCAGACGGTTCAGACGAGGCTGATGCAATCTGCAGTAAGTAGCACTGACATTAAACAGACAAACAGAAATAGTGCCACAAACACAGACAAAGGAAGGCCATGAACACACGGTCAGGTAGGTCAGGACACACAAGACATTACATACAGGTGTAAGTGTGTGTGTTTATACTAGTGCATCTTCATTCATGTATGTTTGGTTTTAAAAGAAAGTTTATAACACCATGCATTTTCTAAAACACCCGCACACCAGCATTTGCATTTAAACTAGTTGACCTCCACACACACATGCACACACATACATTTTCTTCGGCATAAAGCACTCCAAAGGTCGCTCTGTGTCAGTGTGTTACTTTTTGCTGCGCTCCAGCCGCAGTGCCAACCTTCTCTTTCTTGCACATTGCCTCAGAAAATTGCTTTCAGTAGCTTTTTTTGTTGGCTGCACCAACAGACACAGGACATCCATACATGGTTTTATCAAGGCCATGGAGGGCAGAAGAACGGGCAGGAACTTACATTTTCACTTCTTCAGTTATTTAGTGCATATTTTAAAAAGCTTTTTTTTTGGTACATTGATAAAACGCTAGGTTAGTTAAGCTAAAGTAATTAGGCTGTATTGCTAATGCTATTCTGTAGGACTAAAAAGCTTTTGCTGCAAATACTAAATCTAAATGTGACAAAGCAGTTTCTGTGGAGGACAGTTAAGCAAATATTGCTAAAAATTCCAATAACCCATGTCTGTTTATCTGTGTCACTACACTAGTTTAATTATGAAAAATGGAACAAAGTCTGTAAACAGATCTTACCTGTTACACTCTTATTTAAAAGGTTGGCAAGCAGTGAGGTCACTTGTTGCCGCAATTATGAAAAATGGAACACTGCCTACTTTGATTATTAGATTCTTTAATCAGCAGAGGAAACCCATTATTCACAGGTGGGGAAAGAGGTGTGATGAGTGTTAGGTGGAGCGGGGAGGTTTTACACAGCATGTGCATTTGTATGCTTGGGTTAGAGGATCAAAGTCAGAAAGAGAGTAATGATGAGACTGAAGGAGTTTGAGGACCAATACTGGAAGGTTAAATGGAAGGTTAACACTGTTTCTTTTTTAATTTGTATGGGAGGTTATTAACTGGCTTTTGGAAATGTATGGTAGGGGTTCAATTAATATTTTGACACAAGAGGCTTTTCAGAAGCTGCATAATAACCTTGCAAGTTTTTTGAACTTTTGAAATGTTTTCTTTTGGTTTGTTAAAGGCATACTATGCAAGATTTGTACCTTAATATAACAGCTTCAAAGTCATTTCGATGGTAAACGAACTCATAGAATAGCGAATCATACCGATAGCAGCGCTGGGGAGGGACGCCGCTGGCAGAACCAGCAATACAAGTCTGAAGTTGGCACCCCGCCTAATCCTGCAAGAAGCACAAATTGCTGTACGGCGCGACTTGACATACATCAACGACATAAGAAGCAGCCTTAATGGAAGACGTTACCTGGTCAGTAGACATTTTTGGAGTCTATCTTTGCCTGTTCGATGTCTGACGCTTCCATGCTACTGAACATGTACCGGTATACAGGGGGGAGGGGATCAGGCTGTGAGTGCAGAGACGCAGAGCCGTATATAGAGACGGCTCTGGTGAGTGGTATTTACGACAGTTAACATTAAATACAAATATTCCGCAGCGACTCTAGGGGTAGCTGTTTGACAAAACTGGAAAACTGCATAGTATGCCTTTAAAGCTTCAGGTTCATGGTGAGAAAAGGTTTACAGGAGACACCAGAACAGTTTGAGGAGAGTAGATAATCTGGAAAAAACTAAGTCCATGACTGAATGAGAAAACAAATGTATGTAAAAAATGTATACTGTATGCATCGGTATGAGTCAGATACAGGTTTGAGAGAGAAAAGTAGAAGATTCTGATGGCTTTGGGTGAGTTTCAAGATAAATTGATGATTCTGTGAGAGACTGCACCCCCAAATATAAAAAATACTGAAAGTAACATACTATTTAGTGTAAGTGATCTATATTCAAGCTGCCAAAACTACCCTCTGTAGTCTTTTTTTATAGATGCATTGTCCTTGTGAAAGCAGTCCAAATTTCTGAGACTGAGACTTTTTGTAACACGCAGACTCCTCATCCAGACTACTGTGTTGGCACAACTGGGCGACACTGAAAAAGAAAAACAGGGTTGTCTGGTGAAATAGTGGCTCAACATAAACAGAGTGCTGTCCAAGTAGAATACATAATTACCCTCACAAGGCAACTGGACTCGCAAGATCAAAGAATCACAAGATTATGCAAGAATCCATCTCGCCAGGCTTCAATCTGTGTGTTTGTGGCCGGTAAAGTGGTACCGTACCAATCAGTGTCCTTTTAGGAAACACTGGCAGCTACAGGGGTGAGCAGATAAATCAGAACTAGATAGTATTCATTCATTGAGAGAATAGTGGCAATGAAGGCTTTTCTCAGTAGAAAAGATTTTGCTCTTCTCACGACTGGCTTTGGTATGAGAGTTTGGCTACATTACAAGGTTCGTTGATGTGATTTGTTGAAGTTCGCCTGTGATAGACAGTGATAGACAGATGGTTCATTCAATCACCTGCCAAGTACTTTTTCAATGTGCCTGCCCTTTTCCAAAAAATGTCCAACAATTACGTCCCAGATGGTTCTGCATAACAAACCATCTGGCACAGTCAGGTTAATACATTATAGGACTTTCTAGAGTTGTAAAATCTGCATCAAAGCATTATAAAGAACTGTACAGTGTCATTTCAAAAGTTGTATGGTGCTTTTTAAGCATCAAGACCAAGTTGTTAAACAGTTAAGTTGAAACTGGGCAACTCCTAAGGTTTGAGCAGTAGAATCCAGACACATACTTTGAAATTCATTGGCATTTCAGAGGGATTGACTTATTAATCTCACATATAACCGGTGTTTCCTCCAAAGATAAGTCACAGAACAGGGCCAAAGTAGCAGAGGTCAGTCTTTCCACTTCTTATCACAAAACTTTCCATATGGCTGTGACTACAGGCCAGCTCATATTTGCAATTTTTATTAAGATGATTTTTTTCAAAGAGGTGATCAAAGAGCCCTTTGAAGATTCTCAAAGTAATAAGTCTGATTGAGATAGACCAAGGACATGTGTGGGAGTGTGTGTATATGCGCACGTGTGTATAAAGGGTAAGAGTGTGTGCACCCGCATAAGTGTGTGTATAAAACTAGAGTCAATGCTTGTATTTAGTATTCATCACAAGGTGAATCTGTAAGTCATTTCATCAGATTAGTGGACTTGTGGTTAAGTCTCATTATGTCTAATCAAGGTCAGACGATGTGAGAGCTTCTCTAACTTTCTCATCCACATTGATCCTCACAGCTGTGTGTGTTTGTGTGCATGCAGCAGTACAGTGTATGTGAATGTAACGTGAGTATCATTAGAGTTGAGCAATATGGAAAATATGCCAAATTTTTCATTGGCTAATCCAGTTTGATCATCAGTTTGTATATTCAATACTGACACGAAGATACATTAAAGGGATTGCTACTTTATATAATAAATGCTCAAATATAATCCCAGTTTGCTGCTGATTTTTTCTACCATTTTACTGTAAACAGATGGGTGACAGATTAAGGAAAAAAAATTGAACGTCCAGATTAACTAAGTGGAGAAACCACACGACCATAGCTATCACCACCATCTTGTCTCATCTCATTCATTTTTTTCAGGCCATGTTTTATTTTTTTGTCTGTATTTTTTTCCTTGTTAATTTCACACAGATAGATCTATCGTTCTGTCCCTTTGCTATGCCCTTAAACCCTCTGAAGCTCTCTATACTATTCTTCCATCTTTGTATCACATCTTATTCTCTGTCCTCTCGGTCTTTCTTGCTGTATGTCCTCCACTGATCTGAGTTCAGTTTAACTAATGCCTTTGATTGAATTGATTTCCCTGGGAGGGAATCGATGGGCTGATCCCCGAGACTTCTGGACGACTGCCGATTAACTATGGACCTCCGGTGACGCCTGTGAAACCACACACACACACACACTCAGGAGTTTTCTGTAATTACACATCTGAAAATGAATCTGGGCCTGGAGGGGATTCTGGAGAAAATGCTCAATCAGATGAGTGATGGTTGATGCATGAAAAAAGTGTGCGTGTCTGCACACAATGTTCCGCAACAATCGTAAGTGCAGGCATCGTCCCTAAGTACTGTTGCAGCAACATCATTAATAGTATTTGAGGTACTAAATAAGTGACAGTTATTTATTGAAATAAACAAGCCAACAACAAACTGCAGCCCACATATTTGGACTAGATGTGGTTTCAGTTCAGTGAACTTCATTTGATCGAATACACCCTTATAATTCGTCATGTTCATGTTTCTTTTCCCTTCGATCAAGTATTTAAGCTCTGTTGTCGCAACCTTGGACATGCTGTCAATGTAACACGCAGGAACTTGTGTACTTTATGTTCAAAATGTTGAATCAAATGTCTTAGCAGTAATGCACACAGGCAACAAAACAATCAATGTTGATATTCTTGATTTACTGTGAGACAATTTCTTTGTGCTTGAGAACCAATTTTCACTTTTCACAGTTTTACTCTTGAACAATAAACATCCTGATCCACATGATAATGGATGTGAAGCAAATTAATATTCATTAAAACTTCTTAAGGCCCCTCATTGTGGTTTCAACACTGAAGGGTTCATTTTAAGGCTGCTTGATACTAATCCAGAAAAATTGTACCTGATTACTAAATGCCAAAACATTCCACACAATTATGCATTTCCAAAAAAATTACTCATCATTTTCTGCCGTCGGGTCATCTGTAAATTTTCACATAACTGTTGAATTTACATAATTTGCTTCGCTGTGGGGTGCTCATGTTCATAATCCATGTACCAGACATCAAAGCTTTGATTTTCTGGGGTCTAGACATTACAAATTCAGCATCCATTTTCTCTGAGTGGCATCAGCAAGATCCTGCAGTTTGACAATCAGTGCTGATTAGAGGAGCTGCATAGACTCTCAA